GAACACAGTAACCAGAAATGTGACTATTGTGTCTTCATCAGCCCCCTTTAGGTATTTAATTTGCTTGGCTGTAATAGATTGTCAGAGCAGTAAACGTGAGGCAAGTAATGTAAACGGTGTAATGACGGTAATTATCTGAATGGATCGATTTGTAGTGTTATTGCAACGTGATGTTGTGGGTAGGAGCTTCTCAGCTTTATTTCCTCACACGTTTTTTCTAAGGCATTTAAAGTGAAAACAACATAAACCGCCATTGCCATTCTTTCCTTTATCTCTTCCCATTATCCTTTGTGCTCTTGCCTTACTAACAAACCCCACAGAAGCTAAATTTCTCCAAAGAAATCAATGACTTTGTAGAATTGGAATTCTAGCATTTTCTCCTGTGATTCATGGCAGTTCAAATATTTGAACTGGAAGTCACTTTGTAGATTGTCTAGTTTGGTCTCTTCATTTATTAACTAAAGAACTGTAAGCCCAGCAAACTTAAATGACTTGCTCAAGATTACACAACCTGACGTTGCCCAGTAAAAACCGCAACAGGGTGGAACCTGAATCTGCCCTCCACCTGGGCTTTCAGGGAACTGAGGGCTTCCACCAGCTGCAGGAACAGAGAGGGGTCAGTGAGACTGGCCAAAGCAATTCCTGAAGGAGACAGCAATACCTCAGTTTAGTTTGAGTGGGGAATAAAAAGAAGAAACAGTGTGGCAATAACAAATAACTGTACTTAAAAAGTCCAAATAGATACCAGCCTGAGGGCAGAAGCAGTTGGCTATGTGTCAGGTGTCTGTCCACGATGAGAACTGAAAGAATGTGGCAGGATTCCCCCCCCCCGCCCCCCCGAGGGACTGGAGGGTTGGGGGCGGTTGCACAAACAAGGATTCAGGCTCAGCAGAATGAGGTTGAAACTGAGAATGGATTACAACTGAAACCCTAAGAACACATGGTGTTTTGACTGTGACTAGGTGGAAATGATCTGACCTTGAGCGAGATGGCAAGAGCACTTTCAAACAGTCTTTCCCAGCAGTATTCCTTAACTTTTGTGCCCCATCCTGGTTCAATCACTTCTCCCGAGGTTCACTGTTGATTAAAGCAACAAACTGGCCTACATTTGAAACTGTTCATGCATCTGCCAAAGAAAGCTTACAATCACCAGGAAACACAAATAAAACCACACAAAACCCATGCCTTTTGCATTATCTAAAACAGAGTGCACTCTGGCCGGGGGTGGAAGCTCATGCCTGTAATCCTAGCACTCTGGGAGGCTGAGGTGGGCGGATCACTCAAGGTCAGGTGTTCAAAACCAGCCTGAGCAAGAGTGAGACGCCATCTCTACTAAAAATAGAAAGAAATTAATTGGACAGCTAAAAATATATAGAAAAAATTAGCCGGGCATGGTGGCGCATGTCTGTAGTCCCAGCTGTTCTGGAGGCTAAGGCAGGAGGATTGCTTGAGCCCAGGAGTTTGAGGTTGCTGTGAGCTAGGCTGACGCCATGCACTCTAGCCCAGACAATAGAGTGAGACTCTGACTAAAAAAAAAAAAAAAAAGAGAGCACTCGAATTTCAAACTACTTTAAGGAGAAAGGTAAACACCTGTGGGAACAGAGGACACCAAGGAAAGTACACCTGGAATGAGAAGCCGAGGCCATGTGGCCAGCGGTGACCACAGGGGGACATGTGACAGTTCCAGCACTGGCTGTAGGGCAGGGCTGGAAAGTGGGAGGACCCAGGTGGCTGTCTCAGAGCAGTGACATGCCCGGGGAAATGGAAGTGAAGGGAAAAGAGGAGGCACCATGTGGAGATGTGGTTGTGAAGGGGGAAAAGAAGAGAGAAGATTTCAAAATGCTATAGAAATAAAAGAGAATACAGGGCAAACTCCCTAACCAACATCTATTAAAGAGGCTAACACAAGGGCAGAGAGACAGGGCAGCAGAAGCCAGTGTGGACATGATATGCTCTGATGAAACAGAAAGAATGCACCTGAGAAAATGGTAGGGAAAAGGATAGATAGAAAGAGGAAAAGGTGATTGTTGCATATGTAAAAGAGGGAGTCAGAGGACACGATTTTAACTAGACAGTAACAAACGCAGGGAGACGGAAAAGGGGATAGTGACACTGTTAAAGATCCTGCAAGTGGTGGATAGGAACACAGTAGGAGAGGGAGGGACACTTCACTGAGAGTGTACCTTTTACGATAGTTTGACTTTTGGAATCATGTTAATGTTTTACATATTCAAAAAAGTAAAATGAAGTCAAGAAGAGAGGAAATTACAGTTGAACATTATCAGAAAAAAATGAACTGAACTGAATTTCAAATGAATAACATAACCACACCAAGGGGAGGGAGGGGAAGAACCAGTCTAGTAGGTTTTGAACACAGTATTTTTACCATGTACTTTCATTCTAGGGAAAAGATGAGAGCTCCTCCTGGCACTGTTTTTTTGTAGTGTAACGATTTTGTACACATGGTGGGATTGAACAAACCAGTAAATACAATGGCGTTGGGAGCCTGTGTGTTCTCACCGTACAAAAAGGGAGATGCAAATATGAAAAGAGGAAGGCAAGCATGGATTTGGTGGGGCATGGGAGGGGTGTGGAGGGTGAGTGTGTGTGTGTGTGCACACATGTGCATATAGGGGTGGCGGGAGAGAAATTGTTCCAGTGACAGGAACTAGAAACAGTGACACCTCAGTAGCAATTAGCACATGTTAAAACCCAGATCTTGGTTTCTAAATAGCATTTCCCAACTAAAAGGAAGTAGGATTCCTTAGAGAAATGGCTGATTTCAAAGATAGGGTGAGGAAAAAGCAAGATGAGCCTGGAACATCTCCCTGCGCCAAAAAAGACAGTGTTTTAAAAAAAAGACAGATGCATGTCAGAGGGATACAGACACCGCCAGCTTAAAAGAGCTCACCTGCACAAAGCTGGGGCGAATGCAGCTTGAACATCAAAATTAATATTGATAGCAATGACTCAGAACCCTGTAATAGAAGAATCCCTATTTGTATCCTGATAAATACATAGGAAAAGCACTTCCTTGCGACTGAATGGAAACTCATAAACATAGATAGAATAATGGAGTTAGAAATCGCCATTTGTGAGCCAGGTAATCATCGATTCAGGCAAGAATCATCAATGGTGGCTGAAATAGTTGGGTGAACGTTTGATGAGCACTAGGATATTTTTATAGTCTCAAAGTATCTCCCCACAGATTACCTATTTATTACAGAAGGAGAGACAGTGACTTTCCAGAGGAGAGAAGTGGCAGACCCCACCTTAACCAAATGATGAGGGTTAACATGCCCAGCAGTGGGACGCATGTGCACTGTGTGGCTGGCACCGTGTGACTGGCACCGAGTGACTGGCACCGTGTGACTGGCACCTTGCACCCAGAAGGGCCCAGCTTTGCCGCTGTGCAGTTCCTGCCACATGTGCATGAGAGAGCTTCAGATAAAGCCAAATTAAGGCACGTTCTGCAAAATAACTGGCTTCTCCTCAGAAAGGAAAGGAACAAAATGGGGGGGAAGAAAACGAAAGGAGGGGAAGGGGAAGGGAAGAAGGAAATCAATAATATAAAAAAACAAAAATAACAGATTAAAGGATATCGGATGAATGACAGTGACAATTGGATGCAGGGAATGATGGTGGATACGATTGTGGACGGGAAAAACATTGCTATGAAGGACATTACTGGGACAGCTGATGAAATTGGAATGAGGACTGTAGATCAGATTGTGCTACTATATGAATGTTGTATTTCCTAAAATTGACCGCTGTACTGTGGTTGTGTAAGAGAATGTCTTTGTTTTTCGGAAATAACACGTGGACATATTTAGGGATAAAGGGCATCTTGTCTGCAGGTTACTCTTGAGGTTCAGGGAAGCAATTTGAGTGGGAAAGAAAATGGCAGATATGGCAAAATGTTAACAATTAGTGAATCTAAAGAGAGGGTATGTGGGAGTTCTTTATACTATTCTTGCAAATTGTAAGTTGAAAATTATTTCCAAATAAAATGTTTAAAAACCTGAGGAGAGACATTATGAAAAAAAAATGTTTATCTGTGTGCCACCTAAAAATCATACTGTACTTTTGAAAATACTGGTTTGGAGCACTGTACTCCCACTTCCAAACGTCAAGGGGAATTATAGGGAAGGGGTAAGTGGGGCCAAATGTGCTCCAGGGTTGGGGATGGGGGTCCTTGGCACAGTGCTGGAAGGGTTACCTTGCACAGTTCAGGATTCAGACAGGGGCCCCCAGTAGCTTCAGTGGAACCAGATCAACCAATACGGAAGCGAGTTACCAGGCCACCATTTCATGCTCCTTCTAAAACCTGCTATGCTTACACTGATTGCTTTTATTTCCCCCTTGCTATTCAGCAGAGTAACCTAGGAACCATATTCAACATTCACATACCCACATGGCTCTGAGGAGTATGAAAGCAGTAATTTTTAAAAAGGGGGAGTATCGAGAGAGATAACTTGAGTATAGTTCAAGTCTTACATTTCTCATTATCTTCTTATGCTCAAAAGTCATTGATTAATGAAGAAAATAGCGTATATAGTTTGCATTTGGAATTATGCTTTCAGGACTTTACCTGTGATGTTTTTCTGTGGCCTAAACAAATATGAGGCTGTGAGACTGTGACACATCTTAATGAAGTGGATTAAGGCATTTCTTACATTTACATTTTCATCGAATGAAATAAACATTGTAATCTTTTTTACAGAACATTCTCACATCAAGCCATGATTCGATTTTCTACCTGTTCAGAATATCAAGTTTTGCGTTTCTTTAAACTGTAATGTATTCTTGTGAGCAAGTTGATAAGACAGAAGTCATCCCTGAGATATTTATGATAGTACTTAGAGCGAACTTGTCAAAAGTACTTCTAAAAAGATTGTTTTAGATCCTGAGGAGATATATTTAGTAACTGTATCGAATAAGTTGTCACATAACACAACATTTCATTGATTTATTTGTGTTATTTTTGTGTCTTACTGCAGGCAGAGAACTCAGCCTTGGCTTTGGAAAATGAAAATCAAAGGGAACAGTATGAGAGATGTCTTGATGAGGTAAGAAGGGTGGAGAGGCTCCTGATCAGAGGCCAGACTAGTTAGGGTGCCCTTAATCAGATCTTAGTACACGCGTGTTACCAGCGTCCACAGAACATTAGAGCAAAGGAAAGTTGTCAACATGTGGCCATTGGAAAGGAAGGATCGGAGCGTGTGTGTGTGTGAGCGTGTGTTCACTTGTCTGTGTCCTTCCCCCCTAATTCCCTATTCAGGCATGTATGCTCCCTTTGGTTATTGTTACTCTCGGGCCACAGTTGGGGTGCGCTTCACCGTGTGATAAATGCCTTCTGCCCAGTAAGCGTGATCCCTATGGATGAGATGAGGAAAACCAAGCCGGGGCATGCCACAGCTCCAGGTGGGCGCCATTTCTGAAAGAGCAAGTCCCTGTTAGAGTGGGCGGGACGATATTCCCAGTGGGCAGCCAGAGGGAAAGAATCGGTAGATTGAGAACACACCAGGAAGAGAAAGGGAAGTGAGGAAGAAAATTTGAGCAGAATGGAAGAAGACAGGGCCACACACATGAGTAAACTTGACAAATATTATTTGATGGCAATGAAGGATTGAGGGCAAAGATGGTGGGCATTTGGGAGTTTGTGGGAGGTGAGGGGGAAATTGGCATGTGTGCACATCCTTCATACTCCTGCACACCATCAGGGACCACGCCAGCAATCCAGGCTGTACATTCCTGCTGGGATTGGCCTTTCACCTCCCTGACGTGTTCTCACCTGAGACCTGTCAGTGACTGCAGTCCTTATTTACATGGGGTGACTCCTTTAGTCATCTGCCCCATACCCTAAAACGCACAGTGTTCTGGGAGATTCCACTTCACATACGTTACAATGCAGCTGATGTGGATTTTAGAGGGGAAAAAAAAAGAAAAACTGCATTTAATCTGGTTCTGTTACTTTAACAAAGGGAATTACCAATATATATTGTCTTTTTCTCCCTACTAGCCATTAGGAAAACCTTTTCCAACAAACTCCTCTTGATATTTTGATATTTCCTGCTCTCTCCATTCCTCTCTTCTCCCACACCCTATCACAGAGTTTGATAGGCTATAAAGAACCCTGGCTCAAATCCCAGCTATGACATCAGTTCACCCCTTGATACCTCTCTCCAAACCAGAAGTAGTTTCTCTCTGAGTTTGGCCCCATACCAGTGGTTCTTAAAATATGATCCTTGGACCAGTGGCATCAGCCTCCCCTGGGGACCTCGTTAGGAATGCAGATTCTCAGGCCCCAACCTGGACCTGCAGAATCAGAGACTCTGGGGTGGTGCCAGTGATTTGTGTGTCAACAGGCTCTCTGGGTGATGCAGATGCACCCAACAGTTTCAGCAACTGTCCACATAATAACACAGACCACTTCGTATTAGTTACTTATATGTGGTTAAAGAACTCTCCAAATATCCCCAGAAAAAAATAATCTACTTGTTTAATATTGGATATTTTCATGGTTTAATATTCCCAGCCATATACACTGGTTACTCAAGCGAAATGGTGTTTGCAATTCTCTGTCGTGTCAGAACTTAAGAAGACCAGAATGATCTTAGCAATGACCAAAGTTAAAAGCTAACTAAATTCACTAAAGTGAATTGACTCTGACATGGCTCAGAGTCTAGTGAGGCCAAGTTCAGCATCCCTCACCTCTGCTCCTCAGGCTCTTGGTGCAATCAAAGTTTACAGCAAGAAAAACCAAATAGATCCAAGGATATTTAAAGGAATACACAGTGCCCTTGGGTTATATGTATTGATCAGCAGAGCTTCACTTTAACCTCCTGCGCAGAAATTTTCTGAGGAGATTTTTATCTGTATTCAGAAGTCAAATTTATGTGATTCATATTATAGGAAGTTCTTATTTTTCACAATTCTTCCACAAGTCCTCTCCTCCTTCAAAAAGCTCACAATATTTCATTAAAACTCATAGTCTGTTTTCTGTGTATTCCCCATGTCTGCATTCTGTAGGTTTATCAGAGTGTGTGGGGCAAAATACAAGTTTTCACCCACAAAATCATTTTGTATAACGTTTCCACTGAAGACAGACGTTTTGGAGGGAAAGTCCCTCTGTTCTTAATTGCAAAAATTAGCTGTTGCCAAAGAGGTGACTTGCAGCGAAGAACCACCTCTGAGCAATACAAATGTTCTGTATTCATGACTACTGGCCCCTGATTACACATGCCAGTTGTTTCATAACTAATTGCATGAGGGTAGACCATCCATTTCCATGCGTTGTAAGAGAACACTCTCAAAGGGCTAGTTGAATGCAGTAATAATGCCAACTGGAAATTCTCTTCAAGGCATTTTATACTAATTAGACAAACTAACAAGGTAAGGCCTCATGTAGGTTATTTCCTTGCTAGTGGGTTTCATAAAACATACACGGGTGGATAAAACATCAGTTTAAAATGTTCTTCAATCCTTTTTGCACCGATAGTTATTTTCTGGGAAATGGAGAACATATTGAGGATTTGGGGAAAAGACTTTGGAGTCTGAAATTCCCCGTGTGTGTTCTAATAAAAGGATGTGTTTATCAGAAGGAAACAGATCCACATGCCTAGATACACAGAGGTGCACACACATCCTGAACTGCTAAGCGTGCACGCACACAAGTGCATGTGCTCACACGTAAGCGCACACACACTTTTCACCATCACCTCTACTGCTTCCTATCTCATCTCCTTGCCTCTCAGGTACAAAGGCAAAACCAAGGATTAACCTCATTTTCCCATAGGACTTTGGAGGTTTTTATGTTTGAGTCCAGTTTCTTAGTCTAGCTGCTTTTGACAGGCAATTTACTAGCAAGTAGTGAATTTCTGTTTATTCACAGTATTGCCTTGGTCACAGTTCCTTTCAAACCAACGTTACCTAAGTAAAGAAGTCTAATGACACATATAAAAATCAGTAAAATAACATCTCAACTCACCACATTGCATTTGGATGGATTCAGTGGTGTCTTAGAACCCTTTACCTGGTGTCGGCCTCACCCAGACCCTGGGAGCTCACGGTGTTCCCAGCCTGGCAGGAGAAGTGAGATGGATGGGTAGTCATAGAGTAATGAGGTGATAGAAATTCACAGATACATAAGCTTCCCTGGGGACTTCGGGAACATGGAGTGCAAGTCACCAGAGGGCAGGAGGAGCCATGGGTGGAGGAGCCATGGGTGGGTGAGCAGAGAAAGGGCAGACTTGGAAAGGGCATCTTCAACAGAAGAAGCTGGAACACATGAGGTTTAAAATCCCAAAAGGCAAGTAATTCTCATCCTTGCCTGCTCAGTGGATTTACCTAGAGCCCTGTAAACACTGCTGGCTGAGTCACATCTCAGAGATTCCAACTGATTCTGGTCTAGGGTGGGGCCTGGGCATGCAAGTTTTTTTAAGTGCCCCAGGGGATTATAATATTCAACCAAGGTGAAGAACCTCTGCAATTAGATTCTCTGAGTGCTGTGTTTTTAGAGAGCATTTTCAGTAGGAGAATGAAAGCTCTGTCCCCTAAGCTTAGATACAGTGATGAAAGAGCACACGCCCATGTGGAAATTTCAGCTTACTATTGATTCCTCAACAACATCTGAGTTAATACAAAGCTACAAGCAAAAAACTAAAGCATATCCAAGTGTTTCTCAAATTGTGTTCCTGGGGAGCCCTCTGCATCAGAAAGATGTGTGGTGATTGCTAAAAAGGCATGTTCTTAGACCTCACTCAGCACTTCCCAGTCAGTATGCAGGGAGAGGAAATTGGCGATTTTCACAAACATTCCAGAGGCAGATTTTGCACACAAAGTTGAAGTAACCACCCTCCTCTTCAGACCATAAGAGCTGGTCTCAGGTCCCTATAGTCAGTGAGGATGCCAGAGTTGAGTTCTTCTCCAACTTCCACACTTCAGCATACAAGAGCATGGAAAACTAGACCTTTGGGTATAGTTCAAAAATAGAGAAAAATACCAGAAGTTCTTTTAAACCTGGGGTAAATAAGACAGAAGTAAGTTGTTCAGAACAGTTCTCATCTGTCCCTCTGACCCACATGCTACATGCCTAGACTGGATTGTGGAATCATTACCAGGACATTCTTATGTGTATCCCATACCTGGGCTCTATGTAATCTTTAAAATCAATGTCTTGATAAACATAGATGGAAAATGATCCTGACTGTCACTGTCACGTGCTCCAAAGGCCCATTTCATGAACTGGTCATGAAATTAATAGGTAGTCTACTTCTTGTCTGCCCCAGACTCTAACTACCTTGAGGGTAGTAGCATCTAATAGGTCATTAAATGTGAAATGCACAATTTTGAACCAAAAGTGTAATTTATTATATCACAAGCAAGAAGTAGTACCATTAATCAAAGTATGTGCCTAAACTGCCAACACAGTTTTGCCATCTTAATGGTAGCTTGTTTAGCTGTTTTAGCCAGCAGCAGAGAATCCTAGAGAGTAAATGGTGATGAAACCCCAAAGGCATTTTCCACAGCTTGTTGAGTATTGAATATTTTTCCTTGCAAGAAGTGGTAGAAAGCCTGGAACAAGTGGTAATCAGTTGGCGCAAGGTCTGGTGAATATGGTGGATGACAGACAGTTTCCAAGTCCAGGTTCTGAGGTTTGAGCAGCGTTATTTGTGCAACATGTGGTTGAGCATTGTCTTGCAAGAGGATTGGCCTGTCCCTATTGACCAAACTGTGCTGCTTAATTGCAAGCATCCTCATCATTTCATTCAGTTGGTTTCAGTAGACATCTTCTATAATCAACTGACCAGGTTTCATGAAGCTGTAGTGGATAATACCAGCACTGGACCACCCAACAGATATCATTAGCTTTTTCTAATGAATATTTGGTTTTAGACCATATTTCAGCACTTTATCTTTATTTAACCATCATGCCAAACATTTGTGATTGTCAAAAAGAATCCACTCTTCATCACACATAACAATACAGTGTGGAAATTGTTCACCTTTACCTTGTGACAGCAAAGAAAGGCAAGCCTTGAGATGATTTCTCTTCTGATGCTCATTT